TAATAAGTGTTTATTCAATTTAATTTTGAGCTAAACTTTCAAAAAATGATAGTAAATGTTGTAGGTATCCAAAAATAGTGAAATAAAATTTGTTAGGTTCGCAAAAATATCATCTATCTGTTGGTGTAGTTAGTTTATAGTTAGATATGATAATGGTAGAGTCATAAATTCAATTTAGAAAGCTTAGTATTATGTAGCTCAATATTTGTAGGAATTTTTGTGGCAAATCGGTGAGAGCTTTAGCCATGAAATTTTTACAGTAGTCTCATTAAATTATTGTGCGCTCACTGTAATTTTTGTAGCACTAGAGTAGGAGGATAAATAGAGTAGCTAGTACTCCCTGTTTAATCATATATAGAGTAAATCGGTATTAAGATTAAGAATACCTTTAGTGCTAAGATAATATATGTTATGCTTCATATTAGTGGTAACAGTAGGTAACTTAGCACCTTAGTTGGTAGAGCTAGTTTAGTAGCTTGACAAATGTATTCTTATTTTAAGAGTTGCTGTTGCCTGTATTACTAAGTGTTGCATCATCATTTCATGCATGTAGATCACGAGTTGGTAGAGTTCATGCATGCGGACGAACATGACTACAATGCAAGGAGGTCATTGAGGAGTATGAGGAGGAGATCCTCGTGCAGGAGGGAGCCCCGGAGCCTTTTGGTGCTGACTTTGTTGACCCACCGCCTGCCCAAGGCAAGCCCGGTGCATAACCCGTATTTTTAATGATCACTGAATATATATATGATGTGCATTTATGTTACATGCATTTTATGGAAACTACATGCATAAATATATCTACCTATGAGTCCTACTAGTATAGGTTGAGTAGCTGCTATGCTCAGGATTTTGGTAGCATGAGTAACCTGCCGTTACTCATAATGTGTGATAATTATGATCACTCATGATAAAATGGTGGAAAGAAAAAATGGTGACCGGGCAGGGATATGGTTTGGGTACTAGTGGGTGTAAGAGGTTGTGTCCTACGGCCAACAGGGCATAGCTTGGTTACACTTTTTCCCTGTCTATGTCGGTTAAGGATTGGACGTTGCATTGGACGCTAGGCAAGTCACAGACTTATTATCCCGAGCACATACTTGGGTATAGGCGCAGGGAAGACTTGTCGCTCTCTTGTCGTGGGTTCCGGCTCTTTCCAGACCGACTGATTGGAGGCGGGGATGGTGGAGGTCCTTGCACCGCACTGAGTCCGGGACTCAGGAGCGGGGGCTTAGAGTCCAAGTTTAGACGGGGATCTGGACCCCGGGACAGGAGGGTGATGGGTTGGTCCTGCTTGTGCCTGGGGTACAAGTGGGGCGTGTGTTTTTGGGGTACCTAGCTGGGGGCACTGATTCGTGAATCGCCGGGAAATCCGGTACGACTTGTCTAAACTCTAGCACCGTAGTAAGAACTGAAAGATGGAAGGTGATGAAATGGAACTGATTGCTCAACTCTTGCTTGAAAGTAGAACAATTGCTTACATAGAATGGCTAGATAATAAATTAATCATGGCTGCTAATAATAACATAAATAAGGTCTCACTATTAGTATTGATTTCTACAAAAAGAAAGCCAGCAAACCATAAAGCTTATCATATTCCTTGGAGTCGGGAAATTATTCCCACTAGTCGGATAAGTCTTGCGAGTACATCGTGTACTCAGGGTTTATTTACCCCTGTTGCGGGTAACGCTTGAGGAGTACCAATGTGTGAAGGATTCTTCTGGTGGACACAGATGGATCCTTGTTCTTTACCGATAGATGTTTATTATCATTCCGCTGTTTAATCTTCCGCACTCTGAATCTGGTAATGTAATAATGAATTTTTAAGAACTCTAGATGTATGAAATGTACTAAGTATTGTAACTCGTTCTCATTATTGGATCCTTGGGGGAAAATGTGGATCTTTCGGGCTCTCTCTTGGGGTGTGCCCGACGGAAACCGTCCGTTGTAGCTTGCTTACAGGGTGCTTAGTGTCTGATGGAAGACGAGCGCCTTTGTAAGTGCGTTATTTCGAGCAGTTCTGCCACACTTATCTCGCTACACACGCGTACCCACCCCCATCCGTCTCGCCCCGCCCCGTGCCCGCTGCTCCTTCCCCTGACCCCCTCCCCTCTCTCTCTCCGCCCGGGCGGAACCCGAGGGCCGGGGTGAGGACTAGCACGCCCCGTCTGCAGGACCCCAGGCGCGCCGCGCACCCCATCCGCCGGCCCCCGGCTCGCCGCACCCCTTCCCCCGGCGCTTGGGCCGTGCCCCTAGACTCTTTGAACATACCTCGGAAACATGAAACACTTACAACATGAAACACTTGAATTCAACTTATGTCTGAAGCAGATAAAATATTTGGAACATATACTTGCAACATGTGTGTGAAACATATGCAGCATCCAAATAAAACACTTGCAACTTGCAACATGAAAACACTTATTGCAACATAAGACTGACACAGCTGAAACATTTCGTACATACTCTTGCAACATATGTGTGAAACATATGCAACATCCAAATAAGCACACTTGCAACATACGTCTGAAAAAGCAGATGAAACATTTTGGAACGGATGCTTGCAACATACATGTACAATCATTGCAACATGTACAACATCACGATCTATTTTTGCAACATCCATATGAAACACTTCCAACATATCTCTGAAGCATCTAAAACAATTGAAACATACTCTTGGAACATGTGCTTTCAATGCAACATCTCCTTGCTGCTCGGCATAATGGAGGCTCGTCGGTGTGTGGTGTTCACCGGAGGCGGCAGGCCGGCGGCAGTGGCTGCACGTCGCTAAAGGGAGGCATCGGCCGCACGAGCGGTGGGGAGGCTGCGGCCACGCGACTTGGAGAGGGCAGCAACGCGTCGCGCTTGGCAGGGACGGCAGCCGAGAGTCACGAATCGGAGGTGGCCGCACATCGTTTCTGGCAAGGCCAACGGATGAGCGGCGTGCCTCGAAGGCGGCCACGCGCTGTGCCTCGGAGGGCCAACGGCCGTGCGCTCGGAGGCGGCAAGCAAGCGGATAAGAACGATAGGAAGAGGAACGAATGGATAGGTATCAGTGGATGAGTAGTTTTTTTAGGAACGAAGAAGCGTGAGTTGTTGGGCTTGTGTCGTAGCCCAACAACGGAACGTCCGGATGGACGGGCGCCCGGTTCAGAGCATTACTGTTCCTCTATATGACAATTTTTAGGGGAAAAAAGTTTTTCTCAATCTGGTGGAGGATCAGCCCCGGTACAATTGTTACTTGAAAACGCCCAAAGAGGAAAAAAATGCACACCCTCCAAAATCCAAATAGAAACGCAGGGGTCTATTTTCACTCCAACCTTTTTCATCACCTTTCTTTGTCCCTCCAATCGCAGCCGCAACAACCAAAAAGGTAGCATATGTACCCTACACTCAACCAACACACGAAGAAAACTACCTACCCTAGCTAGCATGGCTTCCTCGCCTTTTCGTTCCCTCCGTGCTCGTCAAAGAATCACCCACCGGTCGAAACCCGAAACCGCAACAAATATAGCTGGCGACCTGTCACGTAAACTTGGTCGACGGTCACTCCTCGGATGCCATGCCAGTGTTCCCGTTCACGGCTAGGCTATACATACAATACATACGCCTACCGCATGCCTACAAATCGACCAGCAAGCTGCAGCTAGCGCCGCCTGTACACCACACCACCACCATGCCGCCGGAGGCCGCCTCGTCGACTGGCACAGGCTACGTCGCCGCCCGCATCCGGCGTCCACTGCCGGCGGAGCGGCCGCACGTGAGGCGGTGCACCAGGCTGCTGTGCTCGGCGTTCCTCACCGTGCTCCTCATCGCCGGCGTCGTCCTCTTCGTCGTCTACCTCGCCGTCCGCCCGCACCGGCCGCGGCTCCACGTGACGGCCTTCTCCGCGTCGGGCATCGCTCCATCGGCAGGCGGCGCAGGCGGCGGCACCGTGGCGCTGTCGGGGCAGCTCTCCATCCGCAACCCGAACCGGGACATCGCCTTCTTCTACGACCGATTCTACCTCTCGGTGGAGTACCGCGGCGCCGACGTGGTGAAGGACCAGGCCCTGACGGCGGCGCCGCTGTACCAGCCGCCCAAGACGACGTCGCCCCTCGCGTTCCAGGGCATGGCGGCGTCGGCGGCCGGCGGGGACATGGCACGGGACGCCGCGGAGGCCGGCGGCAGGGTGGAGATGACAGTGAAGGTGAGGTCCAGGATCCGCGCGCGCCTGGCGTTCTGGGGCAACCGGCACTGGCACCCGCTCAATGTCCGCTGCGAGGTGGCCGTGGGACCCGACGGCCAGCTGCTGGCCGAGTACCTGCAGAAGCGCTGCAGCATAGACTTCCTCTAGGGGACCAGACACTACTAGTAGAGGCGATTACGACTAATAACTACTATTACTGTAGTAGTAGTGATAACAATGTGATTTTGTAAAGCAACGAGTGGCAACTACAGCACAACAACAGCCTATATATATTCTTTCAACTGCGAACCCAATGTAATGAACTGGTTTAGTCACTAGGACTGCTACTCCAGAAGAAGGGTTCAAGTTCAGCAATAAAGCATGCCTGCAACATTACATTAGCCTAGCTCAGTTTTGGGCCACAGATAGACCCCTCATACATACAATCACCCTAATCTGAATCTGACTATGGAGACGGGAGAAACATCTGCAACTACATCGAACAAATGACATGGCTGGTATATACACATGAAACCAAGTCAGCTACACCTACCAAATCTCTGATTCACCAATCACCACCCAACCCTGGCAGGGGACTGGATCATCGACATGTGCACCCACTGGTTGGGACCATCCCCTGGACAAAACTGCATCCCGGCTTTGGTTGTTCAGAGTTCACTCCAGCAAGGGTGCACAATCTGGGGTGGCAAGTTTTCTCGGTCAGCAGCACATCATGTTTATAGGCAAAGATATAAGGAATAGAAGTTCTGAAGCAGGCACATCATGTTTAAATCTAGGATTATACAGAGTACAGCATGATCTTACCGCTTTATCTCGTCCAATCTCGAGTGCAAACAAGTGCCTCGATGGTCTTGATGCTTAACATGCTGTGGTGCTTTGGAATTACTGGTCCACTGCTTGTGAATGCTGCTGCGGATTGAACAGCAGATGCTGGCATCGCCAGGATATCCTGCACAATAGCTGCAAGCGTCGGGTACTTTGTGGCGTGACACATCCACCAGTTCAGGATATCAAAATCATCCTTCCTTGGAACCAAACCATCCTCGAGGTAGTTGTCGAGTTCTGTGGATTTCTGCCTGCTCGCTTGCTCATTGAGGTGCTGATCCCAATCTTCAAATGAGTCACTATAGTCTATATCAAAAGCTTCGCTTTTTGGCACACGCCCATTCGGCTGATCCACTGAACTGCAGTATTCATTGAAGAGTTCCTGGAGTGTTTCGCGTATGTCAGATAAGTAGCTTGCTGACTGTAATCCGAAAGCTCGTTTCAGACGGAACTCAATGAAACTGAACTTGAATCTAGGGTCTAGAATAACAGGTATGCATAACCACAAGTACGAATTTTGCCAGTACTCATTGAATGTTTCTTGCATCTCTGTAACCATCACAGTGATTTCTGTGTGCTCACTTGATGCTTCTTCTTGCAAAACTGTTCTCACTTTCCATATCTCATTGAAGTACATGTTTGCTGTCGGAGAACTAGAGGTAGAAATGACTTCAATAACACGATAAAACGTCCTCAAAATCTTGCAAATAGACTCAGCAACTATGACATCCTCTGGAGATGCTGCTTCTTCAGAAGGAAATGACTTATTGAAATGCAAAAAAACTTCAAGCCGAAAATAAAGTTTGTGCCACCACTTAGCATCTTCTTGTGGACACTTTAAACTCATCTGTGAAATGACTTCCATAAGCTGTTGTTGATTCAACGATGAAGATGCATGTGCAACAAAAAACTGTGTTACCATGTCACCGACAAGGTGAATGATATTTTGTTGCACTTTGGAAACAATAGTGTTAAGGGCATCATCCACACAAGCAACATTATATAGCTTGCCTCTGATAGGAAGGCATTTTTTCTCTACAAATGTTTCCTTCAGCTTCGAGGAACTTACATCATTCCTAACCTCACCAACAGAAGTCAAGCTCAAAAGCTTCTGATCAAGATTCCAATCTCTAATGGCATCCCATATGACATTATATGCTCCACATTCAGACTCTGGCACACAAGCCTCCTTATAATGTATCATCCTTTCCATATCAGTAGGTGAGGACCGAAACATGCCAAACTTGATTATCATTCGGTGAACTTTCCAGTTGTTATCAATAAAATGTGCTGTCAAACAAAGGTAATTTACTGTTGGTTCGGCTCCATCAGGAGTCCAGATGCTTGCTGACAGAGAGACACGCCGGGAGGAAAGAGTCAATTGATCCTTAAGTTTTGCCTTTTCCTTCTGAAATAGAGCACAACAATGTCCTTCCATATCATTGTGCGAGACTGCATCTGCATGAACCATAGGGTTGAGGTTCTTTACAAATCTTCTCATTTCTTCATGCTCTACAATTGATAACGGATAACCATGCGAAACTATCATTCTGGCTAGCTCTTGATAAGCTGCTCCTTGGTCAACCTTCCTCATTTCACTAGTTGTGGTCGTAAATGAGGTTCTCTGTTTCTTCAGGCTTGGAAGATCTTGTGATGGCAGAGGTTGATGTGCCGGCACCACTTGAATGGGTCGGACAATAGGGGAAGTGTCAGCAGAGCTACTAGACCTGAAGAGTTTGCTGGAGTGTTCTGCTATCTGAACTTTCCCATTTGCCAAGGCAGGTGAGAGCTCATCTTGCCCAATGGACTTCAAATTAGGAGCACTAGAAGGGTAAAGCGTTCCCTTCTGATTACTGTAGCCCCTTCGTGCCTGACAGGTCAGCAGATGTCGACTCAGATGGCTTCTTCCCCCAAACTTATTTGCACTGAGGCGTTTGCGGCAATGCACACAGTCTGCAGCCTGGAGTTTACCCTCGACATAGATTGGTGAAAACTCTCTCCACACCTTGGACTTGAATCTGTTGGGAATTACAGAGTTTATGTCGTCCAGTGTCTCTGAAATAATCTGATTCACCGGATCACTTGGTGTAACCGGTTCACTCTGATTCACCAAAACTGCATAAAGAATCTGGATGGTTACATGCATGCCACAAGTAAATCGTCTTTAAGAAATGAAACAAGCACGGCACTAATAGACTCGAGTCACTCAGGAGAACATGAATCATCTAGGAACTAATGCACGAATCCTGAATAGGCAAAAGCGCATACCACATGGGAAGTAGGAATCCTTGAGCCGCCGAAACGCCGCGTCCTCCTTGGCCGGGCAGATCTTCTGGTGCCGCCAGAGATGACTCGTTCCGTTGGAGTCCTTGCAGCTCATGCGGCTGCGGCAGTACAGGCACTCTGCAAACTGAACCTTCCCGTTCAGGAAGACGGGCTTGTACTCCTCCCACACCTTGGACCTCTTCTTGTGCTTGTACCTAAACGTGTTGTGACTGTGCACCCCTTCGAATGCCGCTTCCGCTCTCATGCCATCCTCCTCCTCCTCCTCCTCCTCATGCTCTCCGACTTGCTGGATTATATGGTGCTCCATAGCTGCACTCTCACACTGCAACATCGAGGTTCAAGCAAGTGAATATCATCGCCAGCAAGCGGATAGCTACAGAGAGACCATAGCAGAGCAAGGAATCTCGAACGAAACACACTAGACAGCTAGACGGAGAGCAAGATCTGCGTACGCATAGCACTCCACAATAATCACCAAAAACTAACGGATCGCATCACAAGCGGCGGGAGGGAAGCTCAAATCGTTCGCAAACACGCGCACACATGCCGCTCGACCGAGAAATCAGCTGGGAAATCCGACGAGATCGAGGCGGAGGGGTCACCTGGAGATGGAGAACCTTGGGTCCTCGCTGGGAGGGGATCGAGACTCCGGTGGGCACGGTTTGGGCATCGAGCTGGGTCTGCGGGCGGGCGGGTGGGTGGGCAAGGGTAACCCATCCGTTAGATTGGGCCGGGTATTGGGCTGATTCGATCTGGATGGGGCTTTCATTGGGCTCGAGTCCACTTCAAGTACCTAATCGGTCTGTGGGCTTTGGCTCATATTAGGCTGGCCTTTTTACTGTTCTTTTGCCCTTTCGGTTTTTTTTTTCTCTTGCATTTGCTAATATACTGTAGGGCCTTCTCGAAAAAAAAATGCTAATATAATGTAGGGTGCTCATTAATCCTATCGATATATCAAGGATGAACCACATGAATAAAAATATTTAAGTTATGCAGTCACTAAGACACTACTGCTGACAAAACGTAAGGATCGACCTGACTACCTTTTTTTTGAAAGGCGGATCGACCTGGCTACCTGATAAAGCGAACAAGGATAAACTGAATGTTTGATAATATGGCACTTGGATGAAACACTTCGATAGTTGACGCAAGTGGCATACATAGACGAACACTCAGTGACTCAGGAGGAACAAAAGTTTTTGTGTGCGAAAGGCAATGTTCTGTGCACATTTTATACATACAATGACAAATGGCACTGCACTCTTCCTAATGACCTGTTTGATCATGATGCAGTGCTACACAGCATACTTCCAGCTTCCTACAAAATTTTCTTCCAACTGCCTATCAACCGATTATTCCACCCCCTCTACCTTTATACACCCCCACCCAAAGAAAGATTATATAAATGTACACAAAACAATAACTCAATCAGCCACCAGGAAGCAGCATTTGCCACTTCCAAGTTTGGACAGAACGACGACCTTGTGTACTGTACACAAAAACCCATGTACAACTCGGATCAATTGATCAAAGTTCTCAATCGTGTCACCAACGATTGCATGCTCTCGAGCTTTTAAGCTAAGCTGCCTGATGTCCTCGGCGCGGTTTTGATCCTCAGTGCTGCTTGCCTGGGAAATCAGTGCCACACATTTGGCCTTGGATTCGAAATCTCGCCTTGCAATGAGGAAATGGTTGCTTCCAGTGTGGTTTTCAGAACCCATGACGTCCGCAATGGCGTGCATAGTTGGAGTCCGAGGAGTGCCTATGCTACCAAAACTGTTCTGCCTGCTGAGCCTCCTGGGTGAAAAGATATTGTCCATGCCTCCGCTTCCTGTAATAGCACAATCCACAATTCATAAGGACATTTGGATCCTACGGGAAAGGATAGTTGCAGAGCCTTTTTCTTCTCAGTAAAAAGTTGCATGTGTAATGGGAGTGAAAGAATAGAAATAATAAGCATTGAGAAAGCTACAGCACTGAGAACAATGAAAAAAGTCCTTGGCTTTTGGTACGGAAATTTGGTAGAATCCTTTGGATTTTGCAATATCTAGGGTTTTTTTCAGCATAAAAAAAAATGCCCTGCCAATGTTCTGAAAACCTGAAGTTTTGACATGGTTGCAAGACCACACTAAGCATCATTTTTCTTTTGATGAGAAGAGTAGACCAACATAAATGCAACAGTGTTACATGCCTAGCCTCAAATGAATAGCGAACAGTTATGAGGGACAAAAATGAGCTGAAAAGAAAAAATCTAAATCCCAGAGAATGTACAACAGTATCATCCAGATTACTTGAGGGGAGCTCCATACCTAGGTTACGTAGTTGTTCTATAGTTCCTTGCCCAAGAGATTTGTCAAGTTTAAGGAGACGAAGAATTCCAGCAGTGATCCTCCCCATTGCATCAGCTTCGGATCTGCAAAGCATCGCAAGGTGCTCTAGTTCTTCTTTTGTTGCAACTGCCTCGATCTGCACGATCAAATGGATAAACAGTTCAGAAAGCAGATTCAAATCTGTGACAGGTTTAGACAAGTGATTAAAATGTGTTCATACCGGTTCTTTGACAGAAAACTTGACATTATCCATTGTCCATTTGGCACCCTCAATCTCGTCTTCGCCGATGACCATGGTAGCTTCAACATCAACTCCTTGGTCACCAACAGAACTTGAACTATTAAATTCACTGGCTATTTGATGATTGTTTGATGATCCTTTTCGAGTGAGCTGATCTCTCAGGCGAGGTTTTATTGCCTGTAAACCTTCAATTCCAGCCTGCAAGCACAGAGCATCCAACAAGTGAACAACAAAAGGAGAAAGTGCCAAGCTGAAATGCAACATTATGACAAGTCATGTATGTTGTACCGTAAAGCGTTCCACTGGAAAAGCCTTTTTGGGCGACACCTTTCCTCCGCCTCCCAACTTAAGTCGGTCACTGCTCTTGCCAGAGACATGTATATTTCTGAAGGTTGAATGCCAGCATTTTTCTTCTCTGCTGATACGATCACCTCCACGAGGAGAAAAACAATCTCCTACTTCTTCAGTTCCTTCGAGTGCAAATAGCCAATTTCTAAGCTCAATTGATACATCAAGATCATCTGGCACCCCGAGATCAAACTTTGAATTGTGATCATCAACTTTGGACCTTTCATCTGTAATGTTAAGGAAAGAAAAGAAATCCATGACTAATGTAATGGAAATGCAGCAAACCAAAAGATTGAGAACTTGGTCTGCATCTAAAATAAGTATAAAGCATTTTCTTCATAATACATTATTTCAATAGTAATAGTTACTTATACTTAGCATATTACAGACTTGGACTGAGGTGAAAGTGGGACATGTCCATGGATGGTGGAAATGAAAAATGGTTATTGATCTGAAATCATCAGTTTGTGAATTTAAACATGATCATATTGTGGAGAAGTTGGTATCAGCTAATGCTAAAATATGTAGTTAGAATTATCATGGGTGCCCAAGGAATGTTGGATATACCTATCTGATTACCACAATCTCAAATCATGACACAGGCAGTTTCCCTGAACTATACAACAAAGTAAATGGCACAGTTGTGAACACTTTACCTTCTTTTTCAGTGAGGTGAGAGGATTTAAACAGCTTCGCAAGCGGACCTGAAGATAAATCCTTCAAACTCCTCAAGAGTCCTTCCCCTGGACCGCCATCAGGACCCAGGATACCAAATCGATGCAGCAAAGACTCGTGTAAGAAATTCCACCTCCAAGACGAACACCAGATACCTTAGCCGATACATTCAAGCTATGGCACTCCATATCCTGGATATCATAAGGCATTACATGAGTGATGTTTATATCAAGGAACTGAGCTTCTTTAGCCTGGTGTTTGCTCCTATGATCAACCCAAAAGACTGCTCTCATCTTGGGGTGCTCATTTTCATGCACCAGAATGCTGTGTTCACCAGTCACTACAGTGCCATTCTCACAAATCACAGCACTTTCTCCTTCTAAACAGTTCACTGAGACAGTTCTCCACATCAAGTTAGTCGTGACTGCAAAGGCACCACCTAGAGTGCGGTGAGAAACTTTCAGGAACAGATCCGCTCCACCGAACTGAACCAAGGGCATATGTAGATCACTTGCTGACAAAGATTCCAAGAAATTGAGCTGGAGGTTATTCATAGTTAAACTCACAGCTGTATCACTTGGCAATTTATTCTCTGGCTTGTCAGCAGATGACTTGACTGACTCAGACCTGTTACCTTTGCTGACCTTTGAGATCGCTCTGCAACTTGACCAAAGTAAGTATAGAAACCTAACACAAAAACAATTGCTCAACTGAGGTGTTGGACGTAAACTGTTGGAAAGCAACACCAATTCTGACAACACCCTCTGGAGGCGGTACATCCAACAAAGGGCTGCCATCTGCTGTAACCATAGCTGCCTCAAATCTGATATCATCTAGTTCAATACATTTCCACAAATTTGAGTCCCTAACTGCCCTCTGTCCGTTTGAAGTGCTAGAAGTTTCAAGTGAGAGGCTTAGGTGAGAAGCCCGAGTAGCCCACTTCATCTGACTCGCATCAACAGGTTGGTACTCCCACAGAAGGAAGCAAGCTGGATCTCTGTCAAGGTTTAGCAATGAGCACTTAGCTGATGGTGACTGGCAGAAGTATACGTCTTCCACATGAAGTCGTGCACCCGAAAATGATGATTGAGGGCTAGTATTCTTGGTTCCACTGCACCTTGTGATTTCCTCAGCATCTAATGGAACAGAGAGATCAAACTCTTTAAGTGAAAATGTCAGGCTGTTGATTGAAGACTCAGGCAATATGGCACCACGATTGGGTACAACTCCATCAGCCAAGAATGAGGCAATTCTTAAGCACGACTGCTCCTGGAGGGTTACCTAAGAATGAAAAGCACAGGCAATATTTAATTAAGCAGAAAAGGCCAAACAAACATGCTTCACTGTAATGTAAAGGCGACGTACCGTAAGAGGTTGGCATGTGATGACTGTTTTTGAAGCAAACTTCGGAGGTGATGGAGAAGGAGTGGTCTGAAGACAATAGAGGGAAAACAAAGGAACTCCAGCAGCGAATTCTAATAGTTGATTGCCAAATGGATAGATAGGAGGGCAAAATTTTTGACCTGATAAAACCATCAAGATCAGAATCAAATCATATTCATGTGGATATCTTACTGATACAAGAATTACAAATACTTTACTCACCAAAGTCAGGCACAGGTGGAGGTTCTTGTGAAACTGCTTGCATAGATGGCTGTATCAATGTGCATGGAGGACGAGAAAAGGTGTCTCTGCAGTAACATATTCGTACATGAGGTCAGCAAAGGTTCTTGAATCATTCTGATAGCTTAGATCCCAAATTCCCTTGTTTTAATTCAAAAAGTTTTTTGAAGTATCCTGTTTTCAACATCATATGTACCTTGAGTAACCTAAGTGATACAGTCATTGTTACTATTGACGGTTTTATGCCATTTGATACTTTTGACATGGACAGTCCCAGTATCCTATATTCAGCACTGTGAGGAACCTCAGCTGTGCATTAATCAAAATAATATTGGTCTAATGACATTCGATACTTTAGGCATGAAGGGTCACAGTGCCTCAATTTGAAAGTGAATGGATACAAACATCAGGACTTGTGCAGTCTTGAGTAGCAAGGACAGATATAGTACCTCAGAAACAGCCCGCCGACCTTTATGCAAGACAAGTTCTTTGAGCATTCGCCGTCTGAAACGCTCGCCTTTAAGACAAAGAAAAATCTTAATTAAAACCTCTATGAGGTCATGCATTATAAATCAAGCATATCATCAGCGGACAGTATTAACAGCGAACAAATTATACTGTAGAATCTAATGGCAGTTGGAGAAAATTACCCGTGAGAAGAACAAAGACTGCATGAGAAGTTCAAGTTGAAACTCTGTTTGCACCAATGATTTAACAAACAAGTCACAATAGCAGGACAAAAGGTAACATATTTGAAGTTTTTGGCACTACTACTAACCAGTATCTTTAATGCAGAGGAATATGTGATCTATGATAATGGACACCAAGGAAGATCCTGCTGCTTCTGCAAGCTGGTAGAGAAATAAGGGAAGAAAAAGGAATAAGGATAAAGATGAAACCTATATTACTGCATGCAATGCAATATCAAAAGCACACAGAAGTAAACCTGCTGAGCTTTTGGATCTACATCTCCCCTGTTTAGGCACACAGATACCCCAGTCATGAATCGAAGAAAGGCCCGTAAGCCTGTCAAAAATAATTTTTAAGTTTGAATTTTTGCAAATAGAAATTGAAGTACTGAACAGAATGGTCAAGCTTCATAGATAGGAACTGGTTACCAGGTTCACTTAAGGCAGGACAGACAGCTTCAGTAATATGCAGCTGAACCTCAAGCCCAACTGGATTATTTTGTTCTGTCCGTTGAACCGTGATCTGATGTTCAAAATAACGTGTTAGCCAAGAACCCCGGAAAAGGGAAGTTCAGTAAAAATGGACAAGTTAAAGAGTTTTACACAACATGTTATAATAAATAAAACTCAAAGCACTCACATTAGCCTCTCCAGATATTCCTTCCAAAAATCTTTCACCGCCAAAGAACATTCGTTTTGCACCATCATCGTCTCTTTTGTTATCTTGACTACTAGAAGAGTTAAATCTTGCATCGGTGAACATGTCAGGGTGAGGCAACAGATCAACTGACAGTGATTGCCACTCCAGTTTCTGCAAATTTTAATAGATATATGTGAGATCAGAAATCCTTTGAGTTTGACAGTATTAGTTTGCAATGGATCAGGAAACAGTAAAAGCAGGTATTAATCTTCTGGAAGCAAGTAAGGAGCATCAAACCTTGAAAACATAAATGAACCCTTTGTTGTTGGAGAAATCTCTTGCTTCTTTCAAGTTTACTACCTGTAAACATGGCACTGAAATCAGGCAATGCCAAATAAATCATTTACTAAATTAATTATAGTTCTAAAATGAGTAAAATGCACCAAAGGTCCATTAACTTTCGTTGGGGTGTCATCTAGGTCCATCGACTTTGAAACTGTATTTTTGGGTCCATGAACTTTTAAAATGGTTCACTGCAGGTCCATACCCATTTATTCAACCTTAAATCCAATGTACATTTGCAGAAAACCCCCTACATTTCTTTATCTTCTACGCGCTCACCCTTCCTGCTCAACGCCCACTCCGCACTCTGCGTATTCATCGGCTACCCCGCGGACCACCGTGGCTATCGCTGCTACGACGTCGCGACGCACCGGGTGATCACCTCGCGTCACGTTGTCTTTGATGAACAGGACTTCCGTTCGCGCGAGTCCGAAGCCCTCGCAACACCCAGCGCGACGTCGTGCTCGACGACCACCTACCACCTCGGCGTCCCGCGCGCAAGAACACTGTATCGGCGGCACCAAAGCTCACCTCTGCGCTTCCCCACATCCGACGTGCGCGCCACACGGCTCGCCGCTCTCTGATCGGTGACCGTCGACACCGCAGCGAAGATCGACGCCCTCCGCACCACCACGTACTCGACATCGACGATCGGCACAAATGCGAAACTTCCTCGAAGCCGCCGTCATCCCAGAAGCCACGATGTCGCTGGTTCGCTTAGCGCGGCACCATCGCCCGCATCAAGCGTCGTGGCCACGCCGGCTTCATCTCCACCTCCGCTTCATCAAATTCACCAAAGACTCGCCCACCATATGGTGACATGGGCAAAGGCCGCGTGTTCAAGCCCAACCCAAAATCGCGCGTTGCGGACGGAGTCCGCAGCAACGCCACCCATTCCTCGTCGGTCCGGGCGGCGCTGCGCCACCCCAACCGGCATGCCGCAATGCAGCTCGAGTTCGACGCGCCCAAGCAAACAACACGTGGGCGCTCCAAGACCGCCCGACGGCCGTGCCGGATCATCACCGGCAAATGGGTCTTCAAGCACAAGCGGAACCCCGACGGCACCCTAGACCGGTACAAAGGCAAGGTGGGTCGTCGCTGGCTTCAACCAACCCCGGATCGACTTGGCGAAACCTTCTCGCCGGCCGCCAAGCCAAACCCGCATCGTGACGGTACTACTCACCTTGGTGGCGTCCCGCGTTAGCGGCCCATCCATCACCGACATCTCCAATGCGTTCTCGCGACGGAACTGCGCAGAAACGGTGTCTCGCAGCCGGTAGACTAGCTTCGAGCACCGAGACGAGCAACGCCGTGTGCTCGCTCTCGCGCTCACTCTACGGTCTTCGTCAAGCTCCGCGCCAATGGTTCCTTCGCTTCGTCGCGAACGTCACCAGCCTCGGCTTCGTGCAATCTCGCGCCGATAACTCCCTCTTCGTGCTTCGCCACAGCGTCGATACAACGTATCTCCTCCTCTACGTCAACGACATGATCTTGTCGGCCTCGTCCTCGCGCCTTCTTCAGCACATCATCGCCAAGCTCAAGCTCGAGTTCGCCATCAAGGACTTGGGATCACTACGGTTCTTCCTCGGCATCGACGTTCAACGCGATGACGGCGGCTTCTTCCTTTCATAGGAGAAATACGCCAGGGAGATCCTCGAACGAGCTGGCATGAGCAACTACAAGGCAACCGGGCCACCAGCCGACGTTCGCCCAAAAACGTCCGACACCGACGGCAATCTCATCAACGACGCGTCCCCGGTATGCGAAGCATGATTTGTCGTCGCGTTCAAATAGCAGAGGCGAGAAATCTGCGCGGTGTCGCCAACGCCGTCGCCGAAGTCTTCGTGGCTACGACAACTTCTTGGCGAACAGCCTTTGCCACATCAAGGGCGCCACGATCGCGTCTCGCGACAACGTTTCTTCGAGTACATGGCGCGCAATCCAGTTCATCATCATGCGGACCAAACACATCGAGCTCGACGTTCATTTCGTCCGAGAAAAGGTTGCACTCGGCGAGCTCGTGTGTTCTTCGAATCTGGGCCTTGCGCCAGATTCGCGGACATCTTCACAAAGGGCTTGCCGTCTTCGCTCTTCAACGACTTCCCGAGATGGCCTCTGCGTTGGCAAACCTATAGCAATGATCGAGGGGGTTGTTAGCGAATTAGTCGCGACAGGCCCGCTTATAAGCTCGCTTTATAATCGCCGGGCGCGGTCACCACGCGATCCGCAACGCCGCCAACACCACGCATGTACTCGCTCTGCCGTGGCTCGCGTAGCGCCTTTGTAGGAGAGTCCGCTTGAGCCAAGGCTCACCAGACGCGTGTATATGTTGTACACCAGAGATCAACACAAAGTGCAGTTGATCATTCTTCCACTTTCAGCAACGACGCTGTGTTGTACATGGAGCAGATGATGGCCAACGGCGAGGAGACGCTGGCGGCTATCCGGAACCTGTTGTCGCCACGGGCATCACAAGCACAGGAGGGTGAGCGCCAGAGCGTGCTTCATAATGCGCGCCTTTTGCCACGATGGGTGGCTCGGCTTCACACATGCTCAAGGCCAAGACTTTCGGCCAGCGTGTGCTCACCTACTAGCGTGCGCCATTCTTCACTTCCTGGGTGCGTTGAGCACGAAGGGTGTGAGCGCGTAGAAGATAAAGAAAGGTAGGGGGTTTTCTACAAATGTACGTTGGATTTAAGGTTAAATAAATGGGTATGGACCTGCAGTGAACCATTTTAAAAGTTCATGGACCCAAAAATACAGTTTCAAAGTTGATGGACCTAGATGACACCCCAACAAAAATTAATGGACCTCCGGTGCATTTTACTCTTCTAAAATCACAATTGCGTACCTGCCATTTTTCATTTGTTGTGTACAATACAAGATCACGGAATGTGATTGCTGCTAGCGGTGGTGACCTGATAGTTAGAAGGATTAGCATTCCTTTTTCCAGGCACAAACATTGCAGCGAACTCTACTTGATGGAATAAATTTAAGACAAACAAACAAGAACCGAGATATGCAAAGGACTAATAGTAGAACTGTAGAAGGGCACCAAAATGCTGAAATATAGGTACATACCAAGTTGCATCTCCTTTTACGGCGCAGCCCCTCCATGTGTTTCCAGTAGCAGGTTAACAATCCCTACTTGCACTGTCATTCCGTCTGCAATCTAAGCCCGACATAGAAGATTAAGTTCAGTTCTTGCAAGTATATATAGTATAAAACAGGAATAATAGTAAAACGGCAGAATATCAGAGAAGAGGAGGTATCATCACAGAGAAAATGGATAAGTTGAATTTAAGCTATCATGGAGCTGGCATTCCAGTTATCACAGAGCAAACATCAGAATATTGGTGATGTTACATGCAAAAACATGTGGAAAGTGTGTGCGCTAAACATCGAGCGCAAGGAAACATACCTTATCAGCGTAACCATATCCGCTGCTCTTAGTTGCTGATGATGGAGATGATGCAGTGCTAAAAAGGTAACAGAAAGAAGTACAATTACGGACTGCTCACACGATAGTTTTAGATCACGACAGAAAGAAATGAAATTTACCTGCTAGGGCTAGAAAGATTTTCAGAATCGTCCTTCTCTACAAGCACGAGATCAAGCTTGTCAATGTTCACCTCAATTGGCTCTACTTGCACATTTGATACAGATGGTAACTGCAGTGGTAAACAAAAGAATTCCGTTACCAAAACTAACAAAAGCAAGGTTATTAACCACAATGTGAGGTTGTTGTTAACTGCAAACTCAGAATTCACTGCAATTTGAGCGCCAGGTGTCAAAATCTAGCTGGGATGACCCCCTGGCTACTGTAAAACATCCAAACTAAAAAAACACCAAACCCCTCCTTTACAACTCTAATTTGCTTAGCTGAGAAGATAATCTATCGCAACGACATTCAAAATCACAAGTTCAACGCAATTACTGATTTCTACTGCCCACAGTACAACTAGAGTAGGTGGGAAACAAAATTCACCGGAACATATCAAACGTTGGCAACTTGACTGCAGCGTGGGCAAGCATCTGCCACCAATGCGGCCCATAAGCCCCGACTCCCGAGAGAGAAACAGCAAGGCAGCTGATATACAGAGAGTTACGAGCGGGAGGGTGGCGACATCTTATCTTACCGTGATCTGGAGCTTCCCGACACGCGCTGTGTCGACGGCGAGCGCGGGAGGCAGCCCCAGGCTTGCGTGCAGCGCATCGCCATTGATATCTAGGAACCCCGCCAAATCACACCGAAAACCAAAAACTCAGCACCCGAATCACAAAAAAAGAAAAATAAACGAAATCTGCATCCGGGGTGGGAAGCCTCAGCGGGGCGAAGGGAACCCACCGAGGTTGGAGAGCTGCGCGGTGCGGCCCTGGAGCTTGAACTGGTCGCGGGAGAAGGACTTGAGCCAGTACTTGAGCGTGTACTCCAGCGCCCGCGCTATGATCGACTCCATCCTCCCCCGCCTCCCCGGACGGTTCCCCTGGAGCGGCGCGGCGGCGGGACGGGTCGGCGGTGGCGAGCCACCGGATCGGAGGCGAGATTCCGGCGAGATGGAGAAAGCGGAGGGGGGAGGGGAGGTGGAGGGGGTGGAACTGCGAGAATGTGAGACGAGATGGTGGGCCCTTTTAGGTCTGAGCAAAAGAAGAAAAAATAAAGTAGAAAAAAGCTTAAACCAAAAAACCGTCTTGTTCGCCTGGCTGGTGACCGGCTGGCTGGCTGGCAGCCCACTCACGAAATCACTGTTTATATGCATAGTGTTTTTAGATAAAAGAATATTTTTCTCTCACAACAAAATAAAGTAGAAAAAAGCTTAAACCAAAAAGAACCGTCTTGTTCGGCTGTCTGAAAAAACTGTGCACATGAACAGTGATTTCGTGAGCGGGCTGACCAGCCAGCCACCAACCAGCCGAACAAGGTACTGTTCTGTCTGAAAACACTGTGCACATGAACAGTAATTTCGTGAGCAGGCTGGCCAGCCAGCCGAACAATGCGGTTCTTTTGGTTTAAGCTTTTTTCTACTTTATTTTTTCTTCTTTTGTTTTAATTAAGGAACTCGAAATCTTTTATACCTCCTTCCTGTTGTAGCCGTGTAGGACTGCCACTGGAACATCTGTATGGGTGTGATCCTTTACTTGTGGATCTATTCTGGGTACATGTTAAGGTTGGTATTTTGTGTACTCGGAGGATCAACCGTTTACTCATTCGATTCGTTACTCCCTCCGACGAGAGAAAACACACGTCGTTCAAAACTGAATTGTGTTTTTTTCTGGACGGAAAGAGTAACTTTTTACTACTGTGGGTGCCAATTAGGTTGTTTAATCACGTGGACAGTTAACCTTGGAAAGACAGTTTTTTTTTTGGTATACAGAAGGCATCATTTGTAGTGTAATTAGCTGAGGGAGTGAGCACAAACGCAGAATCAAGGGCATGTTTGATTCGTGATCAAAACGTGCCATGCCAAAAGTTAGTCATGTCATAGTTTTTCTGGCAGCTGTTTGGTTTGCTGCCACAACTACGGTGTGCCATACTTTTTTTGCACCCTGTCCCACACCACATAAACTCATTTTCTTGCCAAACTTTGTCACAAGTGTGGTTTCAATTTTGCTTACCGAAGTTTCTCTAGCCACCATAGTTTACCGAAGGTTAGACGTGAAAAATTTTGATCACCAAACAAACAGAACCTCACTCTACCGACACAGAGGACACCTTGGCCTCATGGTCATACTGTAGAAGTCACTTTTCCACACATGCTTCATCATTATACTAATTGCATCAATCTCGACCCTATTTAAATTGAACCAAAGCTGTCGCGTGGCCGTGTTAGTACGAGTACCGGGCCTTGTTTAGATTGTCTCAAAATTCCAAGTTTTTTCATTCTCTTCATCACATCAATTTTTAGACGCATGCATGAAGCATTAAATGTAGGTAAAAAAAATAACTAATTACACAGTTTGGTTGTAAATCACGAGACGAATTTTTTAAGCCTAGTTAGTCCATGATCGGACAAAGTTTATCAAATACAAACGAAATGTGCTACAGTGTCTAGATTAAAAAAAATGCAATCTAAACAAGGCCGACTAGTAACAAATCTAACCGGCACCGGAAAAGAGTTACCGGAACCTTCGGTTGAAAGTAAGTTAAATCCGAAGCAATTACAACGAACGAATCGCGCACGCATAATGCCAGTCGCTGGTTGTGCACGAAGCTTCACCTCGCGGTAAAGCTGCTGAATCAATCAGCCTCGAAATTTGGGACCCGCGCGCGAGGGGAGGACCGAGGACCGGATCCTGCCCGCTCACTATTCACCAAGGACGCCGGCAGCAGGGAAGGCAGATCTGGACGTTTGTTTCCGGTGGGAACAGAACAGCCCAACGCATGCTTGGGTGGGACCAGGCGACCAGGGAGGGATTGTGGCCTGGAGCACGTGACTGAGATGGGTCTATGCTAAGCAGAGAATAAATCACAGTACCTAATTAATTGCTTGGTGGAAACAAGAATCACAATGATGATGATCTATGCTAAGCACACAATTGCCATGTTCGCTTGGCTGATAAGCTACGGCTGAAAGTACGGTTGATTGATTTGTCGTGAGAGAAAAATACTATTTATTAGCTGAAAAGGTATGGCTTATAAGCCAAGCGAACATGGCTAATGTTGTCCATGCATGTGTTACATACATGTTGGCTCGGTTCAAACTTGAATGTGTTGGTGGTTTTTATGACCGTGCAAGGACCAAGGACCAGGTGGTTGGTAAGTAGCAGGACACTCCAGTCATTGTTCCCTGGCTAGATTGGACATTTTTGTCAAAAAAATTTATAATTTTAGCGTAGTATCAAATCGAACTATTTCAAAATTGATCAAGTTTATACAAATAAAAGAAGTGCCATTAAATTTCAATAGAATATTTTTTTACGTTTATTTTATGTTATAATTACTTATGCTATCTTTTTCCAGACTTTGTTATGCTTTTGGTAGTTTTGAGTTTTGACTAAGAACGGTACTATATTCAAAGTTCACAAACATAGTATGTCAGATTATCAAAGCACCTTTCAGGTGCATGCAGAAACGAGCCAAGTATCCTATGCAACGGCGTCTTTGCTGCGACCACGAAAGGAAACGAAACAACAAACGAACATTTGCCGGAGCCTGCTTCAGATGGGGAGGATGCAAAGTTTTTAGAAGGAGTTGCCGAGTTGGGGAGAGTCGGGACACAAGAGCAGCCGGCGTGAGCAGATAGAGTCAGTCAGAGGCCAAAAACTACCGGGCGCACAAGGCAGGAGACGTGCAGATGACGTTGCCTACTCCTTCTCGGTCTCTTTTGCATGTTGTCCTTGGTTGGTTAGCACATACTATAAAGTGGCGTCCCAAGTTGACACGCTATGTCTTGTCCTGACCCATGTGTCTTTCCTTTTCTTTTTGCAAGTGACAAAAACTTTGTTCCGGAGCAGCGATGGCCGCGCGGTGTATAATCGACAGGACTACGTCTCCACTAGCAGTACTTGCACGGCCCAGCGCGACGATGCATAATCCCCATCGCCCTTATCCCATGGTCGCCCTCGCCGATCAGCTGGCCGCAGAGGAGGAGCACACACCCGCATCCGGAGTCCTCCATCCCCACCATCGTTGGCATCAAGAATTGCGTCACCATACCTTTAAGCTCGAGCCTCTCTGTCGATCAGTGTCGCGACCGTCGCCGATGATAGAGGAAGAGCTATCACGTCCTACCACACCCCTAGTGGTACGTAGTTTCTCTAATGCGATCTAAACTGACCCCTTGCCCAACAAGGCTAACTGTTTGGTATGGCACACAAAAACTTGCTTTGCTAGGCAAGCTAACCTATTTGAGCAAGGATGGTGTGGCAGAACCGTCTAATCTAATGCCTCTCAGGAGTGCTTGTCTTCCATTAGACACTAAGCACTCAAGGGAGGACACCAAATCACACGGTTCTGTCGGGCACACCCCAGGGGAGAACCCGAAAATCAATATTTTTCCATCTGGATCACAAATGAGAGAATAAAGCTTACATCATTCTTAACCATTTCTTACATCACTTTACATGTAACATCAGAGTATAACATTTATTATTTAACAGCGGAATGTAATCATATTATCAGAGTTATAAACAATTTAAGTTAACAGCGGACTATAAACATGTGAATAGAGTTACAACGAAAATAAATATCTATTCATGACATGATGGAGCATTGATATGTAAACTATGACAACAGATTATAAAACTTTTATTTATAAAAATATTTAGTGAGAGTTATAAATAAAAACTATGATCGCAGCGTAAAAGAAATCCTCTCTGAGCCCACCAGGAGAAATCCACACACAAGAGTCAGCTTTAGCATCCACCTGTCACCTGCAACAGGGGGGAAATAAAACATTGAATACTCAATTGTACTCAGCAAGACTTACCCGATAGGAGGAAAGGAAAGACTCCAAAGATATACAAGGTTATCTGGCTTGTGGGTATATTGCATCTGCCAGAAGCATTACTAAGCGTACGTCCTTATATTTGATTTTTATTAACAGCAGCATTAGTTTATTAACCAACCATTCTATGTAAGCACATGTGCTACTTTCAAGCATGTGGTAAGCAATCAGATTTTTTTTTTCATCTTTCATCTTTCAGTTCTTACTACGGTGCTAGGCCGCAGACAAGCCATATCGGATTGCCCGGCGATTTGTGAATCAATGCCCCTAACTGGGTACTCCGAAAACACACGCCCCGCTTGTACCCTAGGCACAAGCAGGACCAACCCACTACCCTCCTATCACGGGGTCCAGGTCTTCGTCCAAACTGGGACTCCAAGCCCCCGCCCCTGAGTCCTGGATTCAGTACGGTGCAAGGACCTTCTAACCTAAAAACCACCATGACAGTCGGTACAAAAAGAGCCGAAACCCATGACAAGAGAGTAACAAGTTTTCCAAACGATCATACCCAAGTATGTGCTCGGAATAATAAGTTTGTGACTTGCCTAGAGTCTTATGCAACGGTCGGTCCTTAACCGACACGGACAGGGAAAGCAGTGTAACCAAGCTATGTCCCGTGGCCGCAGGACACAACCTCTTACACCCACCAATACCCAAACTATTTCTCTACCCGGTCACCATTTTCCTTTCCACCATTTTATATATATTCTAAGTGATAATAGTACAGTAATATATTTCCTATCTCTCGCGAGTGACAGGCGATCACTCGACTTCTACCAGAGTCTTGTAGCATAGCAATCTACACGATCCTGTCATACTAGTAAGACTCATGGGATAAAGATATATATATTCAAGTGGGTTTCATTCAACTTCTTAAAACTTAATACACAAATATAATTTAAAGTGCAGAAAAGTATAGGTTATACACCAGGGCTTGCCTGGGTAAGATATATACTAAAAAGTTAGTATATGCGTCTTCCGATAATCCACCATCAACTGAATAGAAAGCCCAT